GAAATGCAGGTCAAAAAATACTCACAGGACGGGGGGGGAAAGTATTCTAAAATACTTCCGGGGATTTGGGGAGGGGTAATTTCTGAACAGTTACATTTGGAAGTATTACTTAAAATTTCTTTCTGAGGGGATGATTTATTAAAAAATTAAGGAAAACCTCAACACTTATAAAATGATCATTACTGATTTGTAATTTATTTAAAGCAGTGAGATTCAACAAATTTGTCTTAAAATGCAACATGAAACAAGTAATGTATATGCATATTTAGAAAAAACTCATAATCTCCTTTTCTGAAAGCTGAATAGAGGCTTGAATTCATTGCCAGTGCCTAAGAATTTATATCTCTTTCATTCTTGCCAAGATGTCATTTGTGATTTCAAATTTTTAAAAAATCAAACTCTGATATATGCTAATTAAAATTATTATTCTAATTGAGCTAATATGTCGTTTATCTTGCAGCAAAAACAAACCACTTAAACTTTTAATTAAATAAGCACACAACTTAATTTAACCCTCTAGCATATGCACATTCTTAGCTATCCTACTCTTTCCTGAGTTCTGTGCCAGCAACCCTCCTTCCCCATACTGGAAAACAAACAAACCAACCAAAAACAAAACAAAAACACTCAATACTTAAAACATTTTAAAAGGCATGTTAGTTAAGAAGTTATAGTCAATTCATTGCTAGAAAATTGCTCATTAGTACAATCTGTAAAAACTACATATTCACCAACTGTTACTGGCCACCAGAATTAAAGAATATTCCAAAGTATATATTAGTCAAACAAGTTCAGAAAGTAGCAAGCAGAAAAATAGGCACAACACACAAAACCTGCCATGAGGCTCAAATTTTCACTGTTAAAATTAGCCTCGTGTTTTTACAATTATTTTAAAGAACTGGAGATTTAAATATGTAAGTTCCTGTCTTGATACTGATTCAAAAACTCTGTTGGCTTGCCACTTAATCACTAGTTTGTACAACATAGTACTAGTAGTGAAATGTGCTGTTACACCCTGCAAGACATAGCTTTATAGGTTGTCCATTTCACCCATTTTCTTCCCATTAAGAAGTAAATCAACATTAGTAAGAACAGTGAGAATTCTGGGGTAAAGTGAAACTTGGGAAAGGATTTAAATAATTCCAATAGCTATTCATTGTGCTTCTCACTGTAATACATAAGTGATACCCCATGATTCCACACTAAAAATACTTAGGTTTCTTATCTTTGTTATTCTGGATCAGGTGTATATTCCTTAAGTTGCATGACATCTACAAAGAAAAGTAGATATTTTGCCTAACAGAAGCTTTTGCAATAATAAGACAGACAACAAAGAATCAGTTTCCAAGAAAAGTTGGCTTGATTTCAGGGACTTATATCCTTTTCCACACCTGGGTTTAGGATTTGCAAAAGGCAAATCGATCTTCCTTCCACTCCCTTTTTTAACCCATCCCAAGTGCACTGGAAATCACAGATCTTTAAAAATATCAGCAGATTACTAAATCTGTACAACTAACTGTTTAGAAATCTGAATTTTCAGGGTAGAATATTTTTTATAACAAGGGGAGTTTGTTTAAATTTTCAAGGAAGGTCTGCATTTTAAAATGTGACAAGTAACCAATTTAGGAGTCAAAAGGTAAAAAAAAATAGATTGTCACAAAAATTGTCATATAATTATATAATTTTTTATAAACTGTTTTGTAATAATGGAAAAGATAAAGGATTTTTCTTCTCATGACTACTTGAAACTCTCCCCATTCTGGCCTTTTTATACTCTTACTGCCTTCTCAAATAGGAGGATAATATAAGTGGAAGGATTTGTAAAAAGGTTAAAACAAAAATAAAATCAAAATTAAACCCTCAATAACTAACTAGCTTAAATTAAAATCTAGAGCATCAAAGGACAAAAGTCATGTGTCATGGGGCAGCAGACCAGAGTCAGAATGAACAAACACTTGTACAACTGTTGGTTTATCACCACTAACTTGCATGACCATATGGTCACTGAAGAATTAATCTGAAATTCAAACTGAATCTTGGTTTTATTTTCTAATTCAATATTTTTTAGAATGTATTTTGTCCAATTAACAGCTGAAATCAGTTCCTTTTTCAATCGTATTTCATTTACAAAAATTTCCCCTGGGTCAAAAAACAAAAAGCTTTCCTTAAAAACTTCAAGGCTTTCTAAAATTAACAACTGTTTTTCACCTAGAACACAAAAATAATACACTACACTGGAAAAATGATTAGGAATTGTTTGGTTTCTCTAAAATTTCTTCCTTTCTCACAATTTTTTATTACTGGTTAGAATTCATTCTTGGACTAAGTACTACAAAGACTGAAACTGGTGATTAATTTACACCGTAGAACACAAGGCATCATTAAAATTCCATGTTAAGAATAGAAGTATTAGTATTTATAAAATATAACTCCAAAATTATTTCAACATTATATTTTTATCTTAGTGCAATCAAGCTGATTTTGATTACAGCTGTAGTCCTACAACAAGAAATAATACACATACTTAAGTGTCTCCGTGGGTGGCAAGGCTGTACATAAGAACACCTTTCTTGCTCTTGAAACCACCCCAACCACAGGTATTCCACAAGTTGAAGGAGAAAAGTGATAGGACTATGCCTATAGAGGTGATCCATATCCTTTTTCTAAATTGTTCAAAATAAGAGCCAATGTGGGCTGTCTACTCACAGAAAAGCAATTAGTACAAAAATAACTACATTTATTTTTTCCTGGCAGCTAGCATTTCAAAATATAATTTAAAAATAACTTTCAAAAAGGAAAAAAGAAGAAGAAACCAAACTCTTACCAAGAAATACATAAGAATATCTGTTTCTGCAAAAAATATTCCTGGAACATTTTTCAAAAGATATTTAGAAAATGTTAGGAAAAAGATTTACTGTTTTCAAGTCCTTGAAGCTTAAAATATATTTGATAATCTAAATAGTATGCCATGGAGAACAGTTTCAGCCAACTGTGGCTCACAATGGCACATTTACAGAATTTTAAATATTTCTTTTAATAATTGATGTAGTCATTTTGAATCATTCTGCATAGGATATCAGGTGTGAGCAGATTGCATTAACGCTGCTTAAACATTTCAACTTGTCAGTATGGCCAACTCGATTTCGGAAATATTTGCAGTATTTTCCCATCGAAACAGTAATAAAGGCAAAATAAATATATGCCACTACTTTATAATCACCGAACATTAATGAATATTTTATGTCTTTTTAAATCTCCCTGTTTAATTTAAAAGGGTGAAATTAAGTCTCCTCCCTGCAATATGCCAATTATCTGTAAATCAAACAATAACTTGGCCATTATGCTCCTTTTTGTTAATATAAGAGAAGCTAATTTGAAAACACTGAATGGCATTTTTAGGCTATCAGCTTAATAGTCCTTTCTGCCCTCTTGTGGAAGGAAGTTGAAATACACCCATACACCTGAGTTAACAGAAACTGCCCCCACCCCAGGGGGGATATATATATATTTATATATATATAAAATATATATATATATATATATATATATAAACTTCAACCAGAAATAAAAAGAAAGCAGTTTATATTAAACCATCATGTATTATATTACCATTCAATTCAGAAAGTGAATCAACAGAATCAAATTCATCTCTCATTATCTTTGCTTTGTGTTCAAACTGCATTTCCTTGTTTAATTAAAATTCACATATATAATTTTTATTTTACTGTCATAAAGATTCTGTTGAAACTCTGAGGTAGAGCCACAATAAATTATTATTTTTAATACACTAACACATGATTTTTAATTTTTAAATTTAGAGCATAGAATATCCATTAGAGATTAACACATTATAGAGATTAAAAGTGAAATGAAAATTGATGTTTTGATAATCCTGAAAAAAAAACAAATAAATTAAACATATGATTCAATTTAGGAGTCAGAAAAATTTTTTAAAGACTTTGATTACCAGTAACAAATTAAGTGATCAATGGAGAAAATAAATTTAAAGCAATGAGATCTTTATTCCAAATTCAAAAGAGGAAATTCATTGACAAAACATGAAAGGAAGAAACAGTAATTGTCTAGCCATTACTGAAACAATTTATATACTTCTGAAAATAACTGGTTCTTCCAAGATAACATAAGTAATATTTTAAGCAATATAGTCTTAAGTAAAAAAATTATGAAATAATCCAAGATTAGGCATGATTAATTCTCTTCAAAAAATTAGCAGACAAAAAGACTATTGTCTTCATAAATTATGAGGGGTAATAATACACAGTTACTATTTCAGTCTTTCTGAATACACTAGTTCAGTCATAACCTTAAATGTTTTCCCCCTACGGAGACAAAATTATTGGCTTTTAGGTAGGTGGGGCCAAAGGCATACCAAGAAGGTACCTCTTCTCTCTTGGGGGAGGTTCCTTTTTGAAACAGTGGCCCTCCTTAGACATGGTAAAGAAAATATTGACACGCTAAATAGACTCTTCTCAGATATTCGAGCTAAATGACAGTCTCCAACAGCACCTTACAAATCCTGTCCAAGGATAGAATTGAGCTGTTTAAGAAAAGCTTCCTCAAATTTCTTTTAGAAACAGAAGAGTAAAAAATATGAATAGGTAACATATTTGAGAGTAACCTTTCAAATAAAATATAAGCATCTTCCAAAATGAAAGCTATCAATAATTTCCAAATTAACATTTTGAATAATCACTATTGAAAGCATGAAACACCTTATATGATAATGCATTATTCTTAAGCAGGGTTTTAAGTAGATGAGTTTAAGAATTATCAAGAGCTCCCATTTACAACATATCTTTCTGGGTCAAATCATTTAGTATATCTACAGTAATCACTGATGTTCCAGTTAATTAAAATTAAGAACCCAATAATGAAACATAAAGAGAGTTTCCAACCAGAGCAGATAAGCCCTCTTTTAACAGGGTCAACATTAGCTATAATGAGCTACCTTTATTCCTTAGCTGTGAGACATAACTCACCTCCTGAATGGTACTGCTTCCTGAGAAGTTCAGGTTGTACTCCCGCTGGACTTCTCGGTGGGTGATGATCAGCATGAAGTTTTGATTTAATGACTCCTGCAGGGCACTGAAAGGGTTGAAAGAAAAACAAGGAACTCAGAGATGAACAAGTTCTAGCTTGCTTTACAGCTAGCTGCAAAAACCCCAGGAGTACCCTAACCTCCACACAGGCATGTCCGGGCCCAATGTTATCATCTTTTCAGCTCCTAAAGGCAAGAGAGCAGGCTGAGAACAACCAAGGGGAGCTAACCTGTTAACTCCTTCTCTACCAAAATGTTTTTAAACTTCAATTCTAAATACTTTGCATACATACTAAATTTCCATGAGTTATATGCTTCTGTCTACATATATATTTCCTCTAAAGAACCAATTATCAATTATGTCAAATTCCAAATACGCTACTAAAACAAATATGCAAAGACTGGTTCAATCTTAAGGTAGAAGCAGCTATACTAGAATAAGTATGAAATTATTGCTTATACTCATGAATTTATACAACAATAGAAATAAGATTTCTGTCAAAATTCAGAAGATACTGAAATATATAGAACTATACACCAAAATTCCTTCAAACTAATTCTGCTTTCATTTAGGACCCAGCTATACAGAATTAAGAAATTAAAAAATTCTAAGCAACGTTTTAAAAATCCCATTTCTAAGTTCCAAAATGTTAGAAATCTATCAGAAACATAAACAATTATGATATTTAGCCACATAAATTAAGAAAGGTGTCACAATTCTATTTTAATGTCTATTAATTATTAAGACATACTATCTTTAATCTAAGGTTAAAATAAAAGTCTATTGCCTATTATATTCAAATAATCTATACTCCCTGCCTTGAGTGTAGTTTTGACAATATTCTGGCTGTGCTACATGGCTCTGGCCTTCATAACTCCTGCTTTGCCCATCTGAAACTTTGTTATTATGTGATAAACATGCACACAACATAAAGATTAGAAGCTGTTTGTTCTATTGCCTCCTGTAGAGTTCACAGGTTAATTACAGACTAAAAATACCTAGGAAGCACTAATATATATCATGAAATATCACTGATCAAAATCAAAAGAAATTCTACCAGGTTTCTTGAGGCAAGAATCTCTGTCATTGTATCCTTAGATCTTAAACATAAAATTGGAACACTGCAGATTCTTACTGAATAATGAATAAGTTGTGGATGTCCACAATGTAAAAGTCTGATTCATCCTTGTATCTCATACAACAATGTTGTCTTCTAAAATACTACCATTAGAGTTAAGACATTGATTCATTTATTTATCAACATTACTTCAATGTTTTGCTATTTCAGATACAAAGGAAATCAATCCAAACAAGAAAAACTCAAGTCTAAGTGGGATAGGTACTACTGAGAAGTTGAAAGCACAATGAAAACTGAGAAGGAAGTACTTTATTCTATCTCAGTAAAAAGATTAAAGAGTTATGGGAAAGCTTCAGAAGAAAAGACATATATAAGTTGAAATATGAAAGATAAGTAGGAAGTTAAAAGTCTATCATTCAGAAGGGATAAAAAAGTTTTGTTTGTTTTGTTTTGTTTCAGTAAGGGAAAAGGTAGCACTTTTTTTACACAAGGAAACTAGGGGAGGGACATAATATACCCATGTACTTACTAGACACCTATCTATGTTCATGACATTCTAGTTGCTAGGGAAATAGTGGTGGGTTAAAAAAATAAATTAAAAAAAAACATGGTCCCTGCTTTTGTAAAACTTACATTCTAGTAAAAGAGACAAAGATCAAGTAAATGAATATATAATTTTAAAGAATGTTAAGTGTTGTAAAGAAAATAAAACAGGATTATAAGATACGAGATAACAGAGGGTCAAGGTCAAAGGAATTATTTTCCACAGAACAGTTAGAGAATGCATCACTAAGGAAGAGATATAACTTGAGGTTGGTATGATAACAAAGAGACCACAAGGGTCATAGGTCCTTGTAGCAACATTGGAGGTTTGTTAAAAGAAAAGTAGTTGGGGCTGGGGATGTGGCTCAAGTAGTAGCGCGTTCGCCTAGCATTCGTGAGACACTGGGTTCGATTCTCTGCACCACATAAAAATAAAGATATTGTGTCCACCTAAAACTAAAAAATAAATATTTAAGGAAAAAGAAAAGTGGTAAAAGCTGATATATATTTACATCTATTTAAGATTACTCTGGCTACAGTGAGATGAGAGATATAGGAAGACAGACTGGAAACTAATCCATAAGAGAAGTGATGGTGTTGGACTATGATGGTAGAGTTAGAGATGGAAAGGAGTTGTTCAATTCAGAATACATTTTAGAGATAGAAGCCAGAAAAATTTTATCACTTCTCAGTGACAAAAATTAGGGTATTACCACTCATCTTTCATATTTCAACTTATATATTATATGTCTTTTTACTCTAAAGCTTTCACCTCTTTTACTCTGAGGCAGAGTTAAGTACTTCCTTCTCAGTTTTCATTGTGCTTCTTTCAATTTCTCAGTAGTACCTATCCTATTAGATGAAATGTGAGAGAAAAAGAGAACCCCAAGGTTTCTGGTTGGAGCAAAGAGAAGGATGAAATTTCATTTAACAAGGAAAATGGGTGGGGAAATTGAGAGCGATGTTTTAGATATATTAAATTTGAAATGCCTATTAGGCATCAAAAAAAAAAAAGTCACAAACAGTTGAATGTAAGAGCCAAAAGTCAAGAGAGGTCAAAGCAAGAGAGTTAACGGTATACAGACAATATTTAGACTTTGTGGCCAAAAGAAATCACCTAGGAAAATATGTTATCTATAGAAAAGCAGAGAGGGTGAGATGGAGCCCTTAAGGAATTCCAGTCACTTGAAATAAAGCAAAGGGGAAGGGGTCCTTTAATGGAGTTTGATAGTGAGATAAGAGAAAAATCAAGAAAGTCTAGTATAAGAGAACCAAATGACATAACTGTCTCAATTAGGACATGCTCAATCACACTAAATGCTACTGCTACATTAAGTGCAATAAGGCCAGGAAAATGACCATATTCATGTTTCAGAGATTATACTCTTCTGATTTGCCCTTAATTACCAGGGAATTGAACCCAGTAAGATTATATTTCTGCTTCCATTGAGTTTATTGAGGGATGGGTAGACAAGCATACTTAAAAATTCACTACTGAGCTGGGGATGTGGCTCAAGTAGTTGCGCGCTCGCCTGGCATGCGTGCAGCCCGGGTTCAATCCTCAGCACCACATACAATGAAAGATGTTGTGTCCGCCGAGAACTAAAAAATAAATATTAAGATTCTCCCTCTCCCTCTCTCTCTCTAAAAAAAAAAATTTTAAAAATTCACTACTGTCATGTGTAACTAATTAAAATAAATTAAAAAATGGAAAAAATTCACATAAGTTCACATATGGTACACATGGTACCATATGCTTTTAAAACTCTAATACCGATCTTCTTAATGTGCTACACATACCAAAAGATACTTAAATGAGACCATCTATACTTTCTATAGAATCCAGCAAAATTTGCAAGGATTTTATTGCTAAAATGTTATCTAAGCAAATTGACTCTAATTGCTGAAGCTAATGGAAAAAATTAGGGACTCAGTTGCTGTATCCAGAAGCAATTTTTTTCCCTCACAGTGCCTCCTAATGTCCTAATGGTTGTCAGGATAACCACAACCATCAACAATCACACAGGCTGTCTCTCAAGTAGCATTTCAAAATGCAAATGCTACTTCAACTTTTGATTTTTAAAGTCTAAGAAGGATGATCAGCTAAAATAGCTAGGTGAGAAATAATGAAATGTTTTTGTTTTAAATGGCATGTTTTCTCTCTAAGAGATGATAAAAAGTGGCAACAAAAAAATGTAAAAACTTTTAAAAAGCAGTTTAAATTCTAACACACTGCAAGAAATAGTTTTGTGAGAATAAAACATACGGTCTCTCCTCATTGTTCTTTTTTTTAATTTTTTTTTCTCCATTTTTTTTCAATTGGGATATTTATGTTTATCAACAAAGACATGGTTTAGTTTCTATAAAACAGACAAGGATCAGGTATACTTTGCTCTACCTTCAAATACAGAATTAATATTTAAAATATAATCAAAACCATATACATTTGTCCCCAAAATCTGAGATAGTGGCTGTTTGGGATGGGATGGGATGGGATGGAATCATAAGGACGTAGGACAGAAGACATTTTAATTCTTATCATCTCATAATTCTTCTAACAAGGTTTTTGTTTGTTTGTCTGTTTGTTTCTTTGTTTTTTGTTTTCTTTTGTTTTTAAAGAGGCTGTGTCTTGCTATGTTTGCCCAGGCTGGCTCTGAACTCCTGAGCTAAGCAATCATCCTGATTCAGCCAGGATTACAGGTGTGCACCACCACACCCAGCTAATTTCTTAACACTGGGGAAGAGTATGTGTAAGAGAGGGAATGCTAAAATAAAGACAAGACAATCAATTTCCTAACATTCTTAGCATAACTAAGCATTAATATCTAAGCCAAAAATAACTCTCTTCTTGTCCACAAGTCTTGGGTTTCCAATATTCCTTCATTAGAAGAATCTATTATCTATGCCTGAGAAGATCACCTACCAATTTAACTATAAACATTTATCAGGAAAAAAGATAAATCTGTAGTTGAGGCATTTTTATACATGTGAATGTACAAAGCCATATATGATTACCCTTCATGTGTCAAGAACTGATAAATCAGCAACACTAAGAAAATAAATATAAGTCTTTATTGTCTTGACTGAATTTATTTTATATTCAAAGAGCATTTCAGCAGGCCAGAAAAGCTCAGGGCTATATTAATAAATGATATATTGATTTTTTTTTCAATTTTTTTTTTTACAGCTGCACTGTAGTAGTAAAACCACCATTTGATCACCATGTAGTTACAGACCTATCATTAATTCCTGAAGAATAAAGAGAAATGGTTTCTCCTCTGCAGGCCCATTTCATAGTGTATCACATTAACAGGTTAAGGAATCTTGAACTAAGAATAAAAATATCATCGAGGAATTTCTTCTCCTGCAATTTCTTGAATCCAGAATTCCCTCTGAAAGTCTTCAGTGGGCAGATCTAACCAGGC